GTAATATTTTGCGCTCACTGCCGAGAGGTAATCAGCATATTCCAAAAGCCACAACACAAATGCAAACGTCACAACACAACGGGAAGAGGAAAGGTCGTTTTTTGCTTATTTTTTCCTGGCCTAATCTTTGATACTTTCATGAATTATTGCAGTTTCAAAGTTTATGCTTTTTTAATTCATGTTCTGAATTTATATTTTGGGGGCCTTTTATGGGAATGTATCAGACAGAAATGCTCCCGCAACTCTCACGTCCACTATAGCACAGTAGTATACATCAAAACGTAGGCAAATGTGTCTTCTTTTCCAGCTGGTTGTAACCTACTTGATGCTGTAGGACGTGTACAGGGTTGTCTGTCAGACATAAACAATATGGAACTGCTGGAAGGAACAACTTAAAACTTCAGCTGTTTTTGCTGGATTGAACCTTCTACCGTTCTACCATCGAGAGCCCTGTTTGACCTACGCTGTGACAGTGTGGCACTCCAAGCTGCACCGGAAGGCCGACAGAGAGCCGACTTGCAAGAGGGTGGACAAACCACCGCACAAAAAACCATAATCGCTGCCCTTCTGCCTATCTTTGACTGCCATCTACACACTCCCGTTGCTCTCCAGCATGGCCAGAAACATCCTGAGGCGAACACCACCCACCCCCGGGTTTTCCACCTCTTTAACCTGTTGCCACTCCAGGCAGGCGCTTCAGGACAATACGGGCCAGAACAAACAGACTTCAGGGATAGCTTCTTCCCCCAAAGCTTGTCTACCATCCTCACATCTCTAAATTCAAACTTGCACTAATGTATCTGTATATGTATTGTATGTGATATATTAATGTGTGCACTTTTTACGGAGCTGCTCTCCAAATCTCATTGTACTTACAATGACAATAAAGGCTTTCAACACAGATGCAGTGTCTCCAGTCATCCCACAGATGGCAGTACTACTTATGAATTTTTTCAAGATGTGTAGCAAATCAACAAAACTCTCACCAAGTGGAGCCTGCTCTTGGTGAAAAACGGTCATGTTGTGATGGTTAAGAGAGGATAACATGCCAACAAGTTCTGAGGATCGAACCACCAACCTTCAGATTAGTGGACGACCCGCTCTACCCCTGAAATTGAAAATAAATAAATAAAATAAATTGGAAGTAACAATTTAAGTACAATACAATAAAGGCCAAATTATTTGAACTGAAAGTCTGCAGTAACTCTGGGGCGGCTGTGGCTCAGAGGCAGAGCGGGTCGTCCCCCAATCAGAAGGTTGTGCTTTCCCAGTATTTTGTTTTTGGTGCTAAACCAAAGTCTTCCAATGCTGAACCCTGGATGAACACCTAAAGGCATTACAAGTAGCACAGACAGATTTCCGGGGCAAAGTTGACTAATGAAGGCCATGAGGCATGTTTAACTGACAAACTGGCCAAAACAAATTGGTGAAATTGAGATTATTCAATTTTGTCCTGGAAATTCATGTGTGCTACCTTTTATGCCTTTGTGTGTTCATCCAGGGTTCAACATGTGTCTTCTTCCCTAATAAACACACAATGCAATAAACTAAAAACACAGTACATCTATTAAAAATGTATTGTGCTGTACTACTTGACATAAGAGCAATAAAACTTGAAACACTGATTGTTGAAGACATATCCACAAAAACATTTGAGCTACAAGGGATGGAGAAAATGGGTGTAGAGCTTTTGTAGCGTGGATGCGTTCAGTTTTTCCTGTATTTGACCAGAAGGAACCTGTCTACCACTGAGGCTCAGGGTCATCTGCGGAGGCTTTTCCAGTTCATCCAGATATTTCTCAACAACATGTTTGCTCTCCCACACTGTTTATACAGAGCTGATGGTGAAGGAGGCATTGCATTCACAGCTGCATGTGCATCTGTCTACACACACATACGAAGACAAAGGTTATATTAAACGTGTCACCCTGTTTTATTAAGGTGCTTTATTAAGCATGACCCACCACACTTTGACCCTTATGTCACAGCAACATGTTTTTAATAAAACAAGATAAATCGCTTCCACATGCACTACATTTTCACACATATTTAGTGAGTGTGGACAAAACACGTCAAAGCCTTACCACTAATACTACTAATGATAGGCAAGTGAGTCAGATGAAGTCAGGCTCAATTTTAAATTTCAGCCTCCACATTACATAGACAGTGTCATAATACCATGTGCACACTTCACTTCAATTCCAAAGACAACTCATATTTTAATGGTTTCACTTGTAGTAACCTCTCATTAAGTTACCTCAGGTCATGTGTTATCAGTGTTGTCAGTGTTATTAATCAGTGTTGTCAGTGTTGTTAATTTGGTATCTGCTGTGTCATGCTTAAAGGATCCAATGCCTTTGTTTTCTGATAGAAGCACATGACAAACTGGGAATAAGACACAATTTTTTGCTACCAGAAGTTAGGGAAAAATGTTTATTTGTTTTTCTTTTATATCAAATATGGTTTTAATACATCAGTGGTTTTCAAACTTTTTGGGCCCAAGGCACACCAAGGGGCAGCCCAATACCTCTAGAAACAGCTGTATTCATATCCATGCATAATAGGCTCTATAATACCGTGCTATCACTTTGTTATTGTTCATTTTTATCTACTAATGCCAAGTTTGATAAACAACTACATGTATGTTACTCCTGAAATATTTATTAACAAAACAATTCAAGAAATAATTGGAAACTTTGTAAAGTTACATAAAGCAACAACACACCCATGGACATCGACCCTGGCATCTGTAGATAAAAACGGATCATTCTAAGGTAACAAATACACAACAATTCTTATTTTCAGGTGATTATACACTAAAGAAAACATACCTATAATTATTTTCCATTTCTACCAATGGATCCTCCTAAATGTCACACACTGGACCTTTAAACCAGAGAGACAGAGAAGGGTCGATCTGGCCTGAGATGGCAGCCTAGGTCGAGCAACATGAAACCACTCTTCAGAGACCAAGCAAAGAAGAAAGAGAGCTTCATTGAGAATGAAAATTAACCTAACCAACAAAGAGAACGAGTTCCCAGAATGTGGGGTGGAAAGAAAACTAGGTGTCAATCAAAGCCTTGGAAAACTGTGTAAAGGCCTCCGCACACCAAGCATGCACAGAACCACTGGCTAATTGGCAGACGGTGTGATATTAACGTATATTTTATGGCAGGTCACATACTGAGATAATAACTATACTGAGCACAGGGCTGAAATTCCTGCCTGCCACTACGTCTCCAGATAATACTTGAGGTATGCTCCATTCACACCCTGTTCACTGTTAACACTGCATTGTGCAATGCTCGCAGTAACACACTGGGTGTTGGTTACAGTGCAACAGAAAACACCTGACCACCTTTCAACTTACAAGGTCATGTGGCTGGGGCTATTATGCATGTAAAGTCTTTACTTCTGCAGTTCAAGAACGGAGCTAATTTGGTGAGCAAGCGTCCCCCCTGGTCCACACTCCCAATAGTTCCTGTTTGTGCCATGATTGCAGGTGTTTTTGAAACCATTTCATTTACCTCCACTTACTATCTTCCTCACAGTTTAAGCTCCTAAACTAATCATGGAGTAATGAATGTGCTGCGTTAAAAGACGCAACTACATACCACAGGAAATCAAAACTACAATTACATTTGACTATCTACATAGTTGTTTTTTTTAAGATTCAAGACATTCATACCACCAGTAAGTTTTATGGCCTCGCACACCAACCCGTTATCCGGGCCGCGGGACGTCGTTGGACAGTCCGGGCGAGGTCGGTGGCTTGAGTCGCTTCGGTGTGTACCCGGGCTGTCGTCGTCGGCGTCGCGTCGGCCTTCATTTTGGCCGATTCACATGTAGAATCGGCCAGGGCCTTCGGCCTCAATGACCAATCTGATGGTGGAGCTGCTAGCCCTTGACTAGCGAATCAGTGAGTGCACGAAAAAACCGGAAGTGACATGGTAAACAAAACGCCAGTATCTTGTTATTATTAAGCATCGTATTTTCCGTTCAGAGTAATGACAATAACGATCCTGTTGACTACTATCAACACTCTCTGATGAAAACAATGACTGACGGTAAGTGCTCTGGGTTTTTTACTAGGTCTAGAGTGTCTGTCATTCCCGGTTTTAAATTTTTTTTGCGACAACACAGATAGCGCCGGCCTGCTTGTTATGGGGACGTATTACGCCTCGCGCATGCGCAGAACGTACGCTCCAGTTGGCGTGGTTGGTGTGTATCGGAGGCATTTTTTTGACCGACTCGAGGAGACGGGAGCCGACTGATTCAGTCCGACTGGCTTTTCTGCCGACGTCGGCTG